TTCTGTTAGCCTTATTTTCAAAGCCAGTCCATGTGCATCTTTCATATGATTATAAATTTTCATTCACATGCAAATTACACTCATTTTCTTACAAATGGTTGAGCATTAGGTCTTGTTTTGAAGAAGTGGTTAAAGGTACTTCAGAGATAAGCTAGGCATTTATTTTTACATGTAGATGGATGATAGGTGAAACTAGTAAAATTCTGCTTGAAGGTCTAAGGAGTTGACAGTATTTGAAATTATTTCAATATTTGTTTGTCTTCTGATATCCTTATTGTTGCCTGAAGGTAATGCTTAAAGGGTTGTCATGGTGACATGACTGCTCCCAGAGACTTCTCAGGGACCCTTCCCATTTCATCTGTCAGGGATGAGTTAAAAAGAACTCATGTCTATCAGTATTAACATACCAGTACACTGTATTTATATTGTATGTACCAGTAATATTATAGTAACAAAAATGTTTATTTTGTTTACAGAGTCCAGGTCAAAATCTGGATGATTCATCTGTTGTCTCACCACTTCCTTCCATGAGAAAAAAGTCTCCAACTGAAAACAAAGTGCAAGTAAGTTAATATTAGTCTGGTATTTACAATAGACCTTTCAAGCTTTACATGCATGAAGTAAAAGTGTGCCATAAATGTACATTTTTAAGTGGCCATGTGTCATACCAACACTACTAGGGTGTTATTTTGTTCTGTAACACCCAGCATATCTTTCTTAACTTATTCATTTTTTTACTCTTAAAGGCTTCTCAGTCAAATACCTTAGAAGATGAAGATTTTAATCATGATCCATGGACTTTCATGCACCAGGAATTTATAAAAAGTAAGTATTACCAGTGTTTAAAAAAGATATACATTATGTACAAGTACTTGTATTGTAGATAATTAAAAGGTACTCTGTACCCTCAGTTTTGCATATGTCAAATTTCTGTGGCATTGGGTCAATACCTCTGATGTCCTGCTCATTCCAAACTATAATCATCCTTGATAATTTGGTTTTATCAGAATTAAGTTGATAGTGTAAATTGGCCACGGTAACAAGCTTCTAAAGCTCATGTTTCAAGCATTAGCCCTTTGTCAGAGCAAGTGTGGCTTTTGTGTTTTACACATTGTTTTTGCTGGGAACATGGTAACATGAAAAAACTTAACAGTGAAAGTTGACTTGTATAAGGCTGAACAGGTTGACATGAACCAGTACAGAAAAAGCTGTCCGGCTCTGTACTTGTGTGGATTTGTTTACTTTTTCAAACATTTTCCAAAAATTTGAACTCTAATTGTGGACTTGAAACATGAGAAAATATGATGCATTTTTTGATCAATTTCTCCATCACAGATGTTCCAACGGCAATGAGATACACCATTATCAAGGTTTATACCGAGGTATGTTTTATCTACCTAGCTTTGTACATTCACATCCACACTAACATTAAAAAGGAAACAAAAGAAAGACTAATTGCATAGGCATCGGCGTTGTGTTTAAGTTTGTTGACAGGTGTCAAGAATTAACTTGTAATCCTGGAAAAACTTGCAGTTCATGTCACTGAAAAAGTTCATGTTTAACTTTCTAAATTGGGTGGTAAATGGGTTGAACGAAGGATTATGTATTTTGGTCCCCTTATTGCTGTCTTTAAGCAAAGAAAAACATTTTAAAAGAATGTGAAAAAACTTAAATAACTAGATACACAACTACCAACTTATTTAACTCATCCTAACCCAAATAACATGAACAGCTGAATATATTTATACTACTAGTTATGTAACAAATTAGGTAATAAAAGGTGATCACAATAAATTCTTTACAAGTTAACAACACATAATCGACACTAAGTTCAGGTCCTTTTTACAATGAACACCACACCAATCTTTGAGCTGCACTGTAGTTCTGAAAAGGAATGTCGTCAGAGACAATGATGGTCCTTGTTAGTCAATCAGTTAATCAGACATGGTCTTGACAAAGATGATGATTACATTACTCCTGCAACTTTAGTACCCTTAATGGTTAACTAATTTCTTGCAGGCAATTCAACAAAGACTTCACCATGGCAAAGTGCCCTGCCTCTGTGCTCTGGTCAAGGCATTTTCATTGACAGAAGCAGATGCTAGTGTTTTGCTTAAAGATCCCACAGGTAACATGCAGCCATGTTGGTGGATTGGATTTTATGTTCCTTGTTGTCTTTAAAGCATTTTAAATCGAGGGTTGATATTTTTCCAGGAAGGCATTGTGTGCAAATTATTCATACATTCACTTTGCAGGTGAGATTCATGGCACCCTACATCGAAAAGTTCTTGAAAATTACCAGACTGAACTGGCACCTGGTGCAGGCCTAATACTCAAACATGTGAGTA